GAAAGTAGGTCAGAGGTAATCCACAGGGAAGAGTAGATGATCTCCGAAAAGTCAAACAAAGCATTTTGGCCAATTAGTAGTTTTCTGGTGTGAGCGTGTGGTTCAAGATCTACCTGATCATGAATCACCCAGAGGTAGCCTAAGTGATTCTTAAACATTTTTGATTTATATACGTATATGTTAGGTCAGCAATTAGCATTCTCAGCATGTGAAACATTTGTCTAAGCCAGTGGTTCTCAACCTTTTTTACTCCAAGGCCCCCCTCCTCTCCAAATCAATACATACTTTGCAAAAATGTCCCTGCAGATATTCTTCACAACTTAAAAGTACTTAAAAGTAGGTAAACCTTAATTATACAGTAACTTTAACAAATAAGCACAAGTCAACCTGCCATACCAAACAAGACCACAGGGAGACGCCAAAGGACTGCATACACAGATCCATGCAGAATAACTAAACACACCAAAATACAAATGAAAAATGAAACCATTCTGAATATGTGGAAGCGCAGCGATCCTAAGGCAGGTCGATGTCATCATTGAATTGTTCCTCTGTCAGAATAAGCGAATTTGAAGCATTTGATGCCCATATGTACATAACTGATCCTCAGAAACTTCTCCAAAACACGCTTCTTCGGCTATTTAAGACTGGATGGATACTAGACTGGACGCGAGCAGTGAGACGCGTCACGACAAAAGACAGCAGAACCTATTTATTATAATCAATACTATCTACACTGAATGCGAAATTCCCAACAGCAAACGGATTCCCCGTTATTCCTGACGTAGTCCAAGCTTTTTGCAACGGGCGCTTTGTCGCTTCAAGCAGCCGCGTCCATATAATGTTGTGCCGCGCTGCGCCGCGTCGCATCCAGTGTAGGAAATATCAATGATTATCAATGGGCTCTACTGTCTTTTTTTGCTTTCGTTCGTGTCCTGTGTAGACACGGTGGCATGCTAATCACTTTCTTAAAACTTAATTTTTGATTAGTAATATGCATTGCTAAGAACTTCATTTGGACAACTTTAAAGGCCATTTTCTCAATATTTTGATTTTTTTGCACCCTCAGATTCCAGATTTTCAAATAGTTGTATCTCGGCCAAATATTGTCCTATAACAAATATCCATTGTCCTATAACAAATATCCTATCCATAACAAACCATACATCAATGGAAACCTTATTTATTCAGCTTTCGTATACATCTCAATTTCAAAAATTTCATTTGTTTTAAGAATGGCTCAGGAGAACATTATGACCAACAAGAGCTCTTAACCACTGA